CTTTCCCTCGTTTTATTAAGGAATTGATGATCAAGACAATTTTTCATGGATGTACAATAAAACAGACCTGGACAAAGTAAGCACCACACTCATAACAGTTAAGCACAAAAAATTCTGACAATATTGTGCTGCTTTCCTTAAATATTTCAGGAATGTTTAACCACAACTCCAGAGTATCTGGTTATCATCCACGGCTACTGCTGCTAGATGGTAGCTCTTCCCAAGAACAACATGGTAGCCTGGGGACACTCCATTGTACAAAAGAGACCACAGCATGGAAAAACTGAGAAGTGGCTGAGCTAGTTTGCTCTTACAAGCTCTGGATAACCAGCCGTGCAACAGAAATTGGATCACATGCCACGTGTTCTTTCCAGACTGCTAAAGGCTTTCAAGGGAGTTGCAGCCAACACTCTCCTCCACATCAGAGTGCACAAACACCCAGCTAATTAAGACTGCAACAGCAGTCACACAGAAGAACTAGTTTGTCATGATTTGCAATTAAACAGTCCCTCTGCCTCAAAATGTGGAAAAGCTTTTTAGAGCAATCAGGCTGCTTGACAAACCTGAGTAAGAAAAATCACCACCGAAATACTTCAGGAATTCAAGGGTTGTGTCTTTGCTCTGAAACAGAGCTTCAGGATTATTCTGAGGATTATTAGTTTAAGGGGAAAACAAAGCCATGGTGGTTTATTGTCCCCTCTTCAAGGTTATCTGCTTGCAGCCTTGATCAGCTGAAGTCCTGCTGTGTAGATGTTAGGAAGAAAGGAGGGGAGAAGGAGGTTAATTCTCTCAAGCATGCTGCTTTAAAAGATATGGATATGTATAAACAGTGGTTATGTGAAGAGTCAGAGAGTCAGTTCTCAAGCCTTGCCTGCCCAGCAAGATGCTTCTTTTGACTTGTTCATGAAACTTCTAAAGAGAGCAGCTTTATAGGAGGCTTGCATACATGCCAAGGGCAATACAGGGATTATATGAATTATGGGAAACACGAAAGATTAACACTACAGTAACGCCTGAGATGTCTCCTCTGTGTGCTTCACACAAAACCAAATGCTACAGAAACCCACAATTAATTTAATCAATGCTTCACCCCAGCTACTGCTTGAAAACAGCACTGTAAAGATTTTATCTGCATGGTGGGCAATGAAATTTCAAATCTGCTAAGAGCACAAATTTCCTCTTTCAGAGTTTCCCCTGGGTGCAACAGTTACTTCAGGAGGGTATGTTAGACACACTGAAGTGCAGTAAACATGCTCCCAGTGCCTCTCTGTAGATACCACCCCTGTTTTGCAGATATTTGGAGGTCCACAGAGATCACAGTTTCTTTGAGCTCACACAATGATCATACAAGAGAAATTCAGCCAGGTAAAATCCCAATCATACCTTCACTGCTATTGCCATGATTTTGCATTTTTAACAACAAGTCACAAAGCACGACACTAAAATATCAGGAAAAGAGTTGTAAGTCAGTCTGTTCACTGCCAAGAGAACATCCTCTGATGGCAGCTTTAATGAAAGAATGGAGTAATTCACCTGAGAAATTGGTGGACCATTGCACCTGAAAGCTTTTGTCCTCCTAAAATTAAACTCTGAACATTTTGGTGAGAAGAGGGCCAGGCTTGGCTGGAGGAAAGGAGAACTGCAGCCCTCCGATCGTGACTCACATGTTTTCCTTCCTCACAGCTGTGCTCCCTCCTAACCAAAAGGGACAACACACCATCCAAAGGGCTGGATCTTGGACCTGCCAAGATGATGATGCACCAGTGCTGACAAGTCTGCCCTCTAAGATCATCAAGCTTTAAACTCCATGCTCAAAGGACTATTTTCTCTCTATTCTGGCTGTCCTCAGTCCCATACAGAAGTGGGAAGAAGAAGCTAAAAATCCAAAAGCAATTCATTTGAATAGTTCATGGGAAAAATATCAAGCTGTAAGTGCATAAAACCCTAATCACACATTCTTTCCTACGCCAGTAAACACAGGAGAAAAACACAATTATGACAGTCTTGCTACAAAACCATCTCAAAGCAGAAAGAAGGCTTTATCCTTCTAGGCTACTACAATTGCTTAATTTAAGCATTTTCCTTCTCACTTTCCATAGGAGGAAAAGATTGCATCAGCAATAAGGCACTGAACAACTAGACCCATCCAGCGTTGGGCTGTGCAGAAGCTGTTGGCGAGGCCCACAAGACAGAGGCACATTCACGGGCTACAGCTCAAGAAAAGGGAATTGTACCCAAGCTGAAAGGAGCTGCGATGCACATCCTCCGAGGCTTCAGCAGGGAAGAGCCAGGGCTTCTCTAAGCCAGCTCTAGCAGTCTATGAAAAGGCTAGAGGACAGCAGTTGGCTTGGCAGCCAGCTCCATTATGCCACGGCAAAGCAAAGGAAACAATGAGTGAGCTGTTGGGGTAGCCCCGCTTGCGTGAGGGAGAGAGGGTGGTGCGTGGGAGATGGAAGCAGATGATGCAAAGAGGGCAGGTGGTAAACCCCAGTGGTATCAGGAACAATTGTTCATCAGCAGAAAGGACAATGGGTGCTTCACTCTCCTCAAAGCCTCACAGGAGCCTCCCTTTCAACAAATCTTGCTGGCACCTATCATGAGTGATGCTTCTGTCCTTGCTGTTTGTAGAAGGTGGAGCATCTATGGGGAGCTTGGGGCAGTGGTGGTTGTAGGTCACCCTTATCCACCTCCCCACAAAGTCATAAAGTTAACAGAAGGTCCTCCAGCAAAAGGCTGGTGAGGTTTTACAGGTACCCAGCCTGATGCTACATACTTAATTCAGGCAGGTCTACACTTGGAAAATTACCCAAGCAGCTTCTCCAGCTGCTAATTAATATAATATCAGATCATCTGTGGAGAGCAAAACAGTTCTCTGCATTTTCTGTTTCATTTTAAAGTAAGAAAACCTACCCAGAGACTCTTATCTTTACATAACTAAGTGTGGAGCCTAATTTTAATAACAGGTAAGATATTGGTAACCATTTTGTAACAGAACTGCTATAAAGCTGCTTTTTAAAAGATGGGTTGACATCTGGCAACACTGTCACTTTATAAAACTCCCCAAATTCGCAGGTCTCTCAAAGGCACAGCCGAGTCTGTGCCGTAGTGCAGAAAGCTGTCTGCAAGAATGAGCTTCCTTGCAGCATATAAACAGTTTAAATAGTTCTTAAGAAAATAAAAATCAACTCTTAACTCATCGAAATGATACACAGAGGACCAGGCTGCTCGACACCCCCTGAGTGCACTTGCAGCTGGTGCAGAAGTGTTAACTTTGAGAGCCCTGTTCCCAATTTCAGCTGCATCTGATGTTTGGGCTGTTGTTGGACTCCCAGTCTCCTAATGAGGTGCTCCAGGCTATGAGCTGCAGCTCCTTCTCTGTCACTTGGCAGCTGAATGCTCGGTTGTACAGACAGCTAGTGAGGAAATCTTCGGTCCCAAGCTCCTACGTGCTCTCCCAGCCATGGCAGGACAGCTGCACCTTTGTCTGAAGATGGGTGTGCTGCTGGCACACTGTTTAAAAGCCCCTCGGGAAGGGCGAGCTGAACGACTTTTCTGACTTGCTAACACTTCTTGTGTGTGTCTAGAGACAGCAGCAGAAATAAATTGTCCTGGTGAATTTGGTCTCATCCATAGCCATAAATCAACTGGTCTTACATCAGTCAAAACACTGAAGACCTCTGTGCAAAAACTTCTATACATAGGCCTCATTACCAGAGAGGATGAGTGCCACAGACTTCACTGCCTCTGGCTAAAAATGGGGATTTTCAGCCAATCCAGATAATATGAATCCATATTCAAACATTCCATTTCAAGTCCTGTATCTGTATTTATTGCAGGCTGCTGCACTGGGTCTCCTTCTGGGCTTTGTAGCAGAAAGCTCAAAAACAGCTGATGCTTAATCAGCTTAGACAATGATTTTTCTTAATTCTGATCAAAGGAAGATGCCTCTTTAATATGACATAACCCAACCTGCTATGTAAGCTGTTAAAAAGTGAGGATTTCAATATCCAGTTTAAACAGTGTGCCTCTCTGAACAGTAATTGTCACTAATGAAGTTATTCAGATTCATTATTGCAGCATGAAAGAGGCTAAAATGGTCATCGGACGACAGGAGTGCCAGGAGGTGTGTGAAGACAGATGGCACATGGCTGAACCCCTTAGCAAATGCCACGGTGACAAGCTGAGTCTCCAAGCTGTGAGCAGCACAGCTCACTCCAGGGCCGCCCGCCCAGCTGCACGGAGGAGTCTGTGCTTGGGAAGAGCAGGGGAACGTCTGTCCTGCTCCTGGGGGGACCTCAGTGGGGTGAGAGAGCCAGACAGCGAGAACTTTCCACCTCCCAGAACCAACGGGGAGGCTTGCTCTAGGGAGACACTGGAGGTTCACAGCTCCCTCCTGCGTCTTGGCTCACTTGTGG